CACACACACACACACACACACACATACACACACACACAATTGTTCACCAAATCTTGGGAATCCTGATTCTATGACAAATTATAGTTTCCATACACTTGTTAGATTATTGTACTTTACATATGCTGATAACTTGAGCTAAATGTCACATGTGGTCATGGTATCACAAGACAGTCAAGATGTTTTGCTGTAGAGTAGAGGACAAAGCGGAGAGAGACACAGTTAAACCATGGGAAACCACCATCCTCATTGACCTAGGAACTAAGTATTGTGCACCTCCATAGGGGAAGAATAGGGAAATGGGAATATAATACTTCCACCATCATGCTTGATGACCTAGAGGTACTAAGGGTGGTGCACCTCCACTGGGGAAGAATAAAGAATGGCAAATAGAATGTTTCCAACATCAATGGCGAATAGAATGTTCCAATATCATACTTGATGACCTAGTAACTAAGCGTGGTGTACCTCCATTGGGGAAGAATAAGTAATGAGGAACATCCACATGTCTTTCTCATGTGTCCCAGGAAATAAAAGCTGGGTAACAGTAGGACACAAGTGGAATTAATGTTCCTTCCAAAACCCAGATGGGTTCTAGTTAACCTTTGGAGAAGCAACCCAGGATAGATCTCCAACTCTGAAGAATTTTGAGAGTTAAGTCTTTAATCCTATGATTTCTCAAACTGCATTTCTTCAGCTTGGCTATGTCACCAGACTTCTGTTAAAACTTAAGTGAAAACACATTGACTTGAAACTTTGCCCAACAAAGTATTCTCTTGGCACAAAGTACGAGTCCAACATGTGTGTTGATTTTTCTAAGTTACATTGCCCAACTATGAAATAGCATCACATCGTTGTCATCATCATCGTCATCATCATCATCATCATCATCACTGGTTTTCTAACAAAAGGAAATAACCTGATTGTCATCATTACTACTCTGCTACAATTGTATAAAATGGGTCAACGTCATTAGACTATTTGAGGTTTTTTTTTTCCTATTGTCAATAACTTGAGTGTCTATTTCCCAAATAGAACCAGATTTACTCATTAAGCAGACAAGAATACAAAGCAGAGGGTTGACCATACCTCTGTGTGTTATATCCATTTCTTTCCTAGCATATCAGAATTGCACACCTTCTATTCCTGGAAGAGAGTTTATTCTTGTGATAACTTCTGAACACCCTTTTCTGCCTGTAGGTGGAATGGCTGAAAAATGAGGAGCCCATTGACTCTGCACAGGATGAGAACATTGACACCAGGGCTGACCATAACCTCATCATCAGGCAGGCCCGGCTCTCAGACTCAGGGAATTACACCTGTATGGCAGCCAACATCGTGGCCAAGAGGAGGAGCCTGTCAGCAACTGTGGTGGTCTACGGTAAGACCAGCCCAAAGGCCAGGAAGGGATAGGGAGGGCTAAAAGCAGAGATGTAGGGAGCCATGTACTGTATTAAAATTTCCAGTCTAAGAGCTAAGAGGGCCCTGGATCATTCACCAGAGTGCTGTCCTGCCTCAATCCTTTGCCAGGTGAGAAAACATCCCTAACACTGTTCATGTGTTTGCTGATCCATTCAGTCTTGGACTGTTGTGAGACAGCCAGTGGTATTTTCAGTCTCTCTCTTAAAAATAATAAAATGATGGTTTATTTCATTTCCATGGTGTTTATATTTGGAAAGCATTCATAGTGGGCAACTTTAGCTCCCCACCCTTCCCCAGATTCCCCCCCCCCTACACCCATATCTTCACAGACATTCTGGCAGTCAGTTCCTCTCCTACCAGATGAAATGCACCAAAAGCAAATATTGTTGTTTGCTGATGATCTCAGGCATTGTATTAAAGCATTTCCCAGCTATTTAAGTACAGGCATTTCTTTCCACAATAGAGGAGCCCTGGGAATTATTTTTGAAGCACTTAAAAGTAATAGAAATTCAAATGCTGATATTTTCTTCCATATACTCTGGATGGTCAAGTGCCTTAGAAATCTGCTGATGAGTTCTTCCTAGTTTTAATAGTTCTCCGCAAAGTCAGCTCTCTAGGTTCCTCTTGCAGAAGGGCAGGAGAAACAAGTGGGACTCTGCACCATCTCTTCTTCCCCCAGATACCTGACTCACAGCACCTGGCGCAGTGGCTTGCACATAGTAGGCAATCAGTACAAACCTCTCTCCTCTTTTTTTCTCCCCTCCCCATTTTTGTCTCTCAGTGAATGGAGGCTGGTCTTCCTGGACAGAGTGGTCAGCCTGCAATGTTCGCTGTGGTAGAGGATGGCAGAAACGTTCCCGGACCTGCACCAACCCTGCTCCTCTCAATGGTGGGGCCTTTTGTGAGGGAATGTCAGTGCAGAAAATAACGTGCACTGCTCTCTGTCCTGGTGAGATATACACAGATTCCCTTCTCCTTCTAATCTGCCAATGCTATTAAGTTGCTGTGGAGCAGGCAATGTGCCCTTCCTTCCAAAGTCACCCTGGTCCAAGGGCCTAGACGATTGCCTCTGTCCAAGGTGCTGATACTGAATTCATTGTCATGGCCAGAACATGGGTGAAACTCCTCTATGCAAGGCTTGTGGTAGCAGCGTTTGGACTAAGCCACCAGCTTCTCCCCCTGATTTTCCCACGTGATGGCATGCATTTGAATACAGTAACCAGGGGTTGGGTGAGCTGCCTTCAAGCACAAAAAAGCAACCACCCAGAACTTGACCTTTTATCAGTTTCAGCTTGGTAGTTATTTACAATACAATTGGCAGAGATTGTCCATTGCATGGGTGTGTACTTACACCTGGCCGGCACTTGCCTTTCTTTCAAAATAGTGGAAGATCTCATTTATGGAATGTGTCTCCTATTAGTTCTTTTGTTATCTCTTCCTGGCTGTAACCCAGCTAATACAACGAGAACTACGTGAGGTGGAAGGTGGCTTTCTTTATGGAAAGCATGTTCTCTCACAGAGAACATAACTGCTCCTGAGTTTCACATGCACCACACAAGTTTAATTCCAAAAATCTGGGACCAGAGCCTCATGTCTTTAAATTTTCCATTTGAGTTTCTCAAGAAGCTAAGGTGAGACTCTGACCAACAGCATGTGTTCAGAGTTTAATTTGTCCTTGTATTTCATAAACATTTATTGAGTGCTTACTATGTGCCAGGTACTGTGCAGGACACTTTCATACATGCCATGCCATTTATCTCTCCATTGTGACTGTATTGTCCCCAGATGACAGAAATGGAAAATTGAAGCCTCTCTGCTGACAAGTTTACAAAGCCAAGACTAGGACTCAGACATTTTGGGCCACATTCAGTACTTTTTAAATTTTTTCCCTAATTTTTACTAATTGGTTTAGATTAAAACTTGCAAGATCTTAACCTACATAAGCATGGTGAAAACTATTCCTAGGAGGTAATGGGGCAATTGCCTCAAACATCTGTCCTAGTCTCTTGGGCTGATATTTAATGGAATTAAGTTCAGTCTGCTCATTTCGATGTACAGCAGCAGTCTATGACCCAAGAAATTCTATTTCTGTAGGTTCTGCCATCTTGGGGTTTCACTGACCTGTTTTCGTTTAACACTATCAGTTCATGTGGGTTTAACTTTTATTGTTTAGGGGATTTGGGGAGTTAAAGTCAGACTACTCTATTTACCACTCTAAACTGTAACCCCATACTACATCAATGTACTACACATGGCTATCTGTCCAGCAGTGATGCTCTTGGATATGAAAGACTGGGGGGAAAATGGATAATGCCATTATTATCCAACTCAAAGAAGCCAATGCCAGTCACTCAACTGTTTGCCTAAATTTAATCATGGGTCTTATCCTGATATAGCTTTAATAAGAAAACAAAACAGGAGAGTAAAGATGCTCTCTCTGTTCTCTCAGTTTGGTTTTATTGGGTTGGTGGTCTGTTTAAAGTGTGGGGAAAGTTTCCCAATAGTTGCTGATTTCTGCTAACAGTGGCCTCTAATATTTTCCTTTGAAGTGGACGGCAGCTGGGAAGTGTGGAGTGAATGGTCAGTCTGCAGCCCAGAGTGTGAACATCTTCGTATCCGTGAGTGCACAGCTCCACCCCCAAGAAACGGGGGCAAGTTCTGTGAAGGTCTCAGCCAGGAATCTGAAAACTGCACAGATGGTCTCTGCATTCTAGGTAACACTGTCTATTTGATGTCTCCAGTATTTGTGGGTGATGTGCATATATCCATATGTTTTCAGAAGAATGTCCCAATCATAAGCTGGGTTTAGTAAAACAGCAGAAAGCCAATCACCAGAAATGAAAATGAATATGTATAAAGGGCTGAAAATTGCATGGGTACATTTTTGGTACAGGTAGAGTGATGCTATTATTTTTTAATTTTTTGATGTGCTGGAGATGGGAGCTAGGATCTTGTACACACTTCACAAATTCTCTATTACTGGACTACATTATTAGGCCAGATGGAGCAATTTCAAATACTTTATTACTGCCTACTAAGATAATATTTTCAAAGAAAGAATATTTAAAATCTGAAACTTTTAGAAGCAACCACTTTTAAGTTTAGTGAAATCCTGATACTGGGTGCTGTGAATTTGTATCTCTAAAGAACTTCACAAAACTTTAAAATTCTTACAACATCTTTGGAGTCCAAGGTATTCTGGCAAGGAAAACACATTGCACCTGTATCTGGCCAATGGTGAAGGGAAGGTAAATGACTCCTGATGGTCGAGGTTTTTGTCTCCCATTGGTCTGGAAGAGCAGGGAGTGGGATGTTCATCTCTAAACTCCCAGGCCTTTGTGTCGTGTCTGATACCACACTGTTGCTACCTCCAAGTGTCTCTCTGTGTGGGTGTGGAAGGCCTGGAAGGATCTTGTCTAGTCAAGGAGAAGCCACTTTTAATATGGTGCTTTCTTTTATTCACATTGTGGCTCTGGACAACTCACTTCACTTCTTTCACTATAAGCGCCAAAACTTATATCCACTTTCAGTTATTAGCAGAGGCCGTATGTTGACATGCTGCATCTGAATCTTTCTTGGAAGAGACTATATACTCAAGTCCTATGCACGTGGGCTAAGCTACAGTGATATTCTGTAGTTCCTTAAAAATGAGACTGGGGCCATCCATATTCTCTAGAACTAGATTGCTTACTTGAAGATTCCTTGTGTGATATTCAGCAAAGAAATGCCACAACTTAGTAGGTTGCAGTCACTTTATGTATGCTATTGTTCATTAGGAAAAATGACACTGTGAAGGAAATACTTCTTTTGGATCCATTTCTTTGCATTCATGTGACTGGTGCTCTTGAAGGCAAGCATGTGATAAGTGCTGCATTTTCAGAATAAATCTGCAAGGATCATGCATTGTTTAAAATGGCTAATGCATTAAAATCAACACATTGATATCCACATTGCCTTTATTTGGTAATACAATTATTTAGTACCTGGACATGTCAGACCCAGTGCAAGGGGTGATGATCACAGACGACATAGCCAGAAAGTTCAAAGTTGAAACTTCTGCGCTCTCCATTAATTGCACACCAGCCATCTACTTCTGCATACACTCAATAGTAAGATGGTTAAGGAAATGTGTTTCTGACAACCCTTGAATAGCACCAAACTTTTCTGAATCATGTCTTAGCGGTGTGACTGCTTTTTCACATTGTGGACATGTTTTTAAAGTGATACAGTTAAGATTATGGATGTAATATGCCTTCGAAAAGATGATGGCTCTATAACTATTTGGCTTCTTGATGAATTTTGGATAGCTTTACTAAAAAGTTTTACTGTAAATCATATGTTTGATTTGAATATATGACTTTAGGCTTAGTTATCTGTGATGTAATCTAAGAGTTATGCATGAAAGACATAGTGCTTAGCTCTTAATGTAAGAAAGCTAGGTTATCTTATATGTTAATATTACTTGATTTTGTGTCATGATTCATGCTTATTTATCAGTTGAGTTAGAGTGCTGTTGAAGGCTAAAATAAATGATCAGCACTGATAGTGAACTGCTAAGAGTAGATCCCATCTTAAATCTGAGCTGACACAGTAGTCAATATTCTCCTGATAAATAGAAGCAGGAAGGTCACACATGTGATTCCAGCCTCTGGGCTCAAGGGTCAGGCAATGGGATTGCGAGGTCATGACGAATATAGACTACAGAGGGAGACCCTGTCACAAAATAGCAAAAATAAAGTAAAATTCAAACAAACAAATAAACAAAGAGGAAGAGGGGGATTTTAGGGAAGAAAAGGGAAGGATTGAAGGGAAGGAAATGAAAGTTAAAAAAGGAAAAGGTAATTGAAGAAGGCTAACAAGGCAAGATATCTCAATCAGTGTCCCAGTTTCAAGTTCAGTGATTGGCTGACTGCTACAGAACAAATAAGAAGTGATGTCCTAGGTTAAAGGCCAAAAGACAGAAAGAGCTTGCATTTCAGTTTAGAAACTATCAGGAAGCACAATTCTTTATCACTTCTGGTAGGTTCAGCCTCCCTTTTTTGTTTTGTTTTGTTTTGCTTTTTAAGTCTTTAGCTCAGTAGATGAGGACTATTCCTGTTACAATGTTTCACGTGCTTTAATCAGTCTCCAGATTTAGAAGTCACTGTCATTACCAACACTCTCACTCAAGTGTCTAGAATAAAGCAAACCCAGATAGCTGGAAATTCATGTCAATTTGAATCAAGTGGGCACATAAAATTATTCATCATAAATGTATATGTACTTGGAGATTTTTTTAAGCAGTAGTCTTTCATCTCTTGGGCAGTTGTTGGCCATAATTCAGACAATGGCTTTAGGCAACTTATTGATTGAAGAAACCCTTTATCTGGACACTGGCAATGTGTAGGTTTAGGCACACAGAGGCAGCTTTCTGAATACCCAGTTTGCATCTTGATATAATGAAGATAAAATAGCCAGAAACACACCAAGGCTTTCATTGTTCTCAGGTTTTGAGGCACTCTGTTAAATCCCTCATGAGCTGAAAATGCAAGATGAGCTTTTCTCCTGATATTCAGTCTCTTCATTCCACTAATGGATGGCTGTTTCTAGCATCTCTTCCCTTCATATATGTGTATTAGGATATCTGAATATCTGTAATTGTACTGTGGTCAATATTTTTAGTTTAAAGAAAATGGGGAGATGAGTGAATTTGGAGGAGAATGAGCTGTATCTGCAATCTACATATCAGTTGGGAAGGGTTGATTGTTGAGAACAGCAGGATCTATTCTGTTTCTAGACAGAAGGTGGAGACCACTATTCACAAAATGAGTACCTTTTCACTGTCTTTGTGGGAAGCAGTAAGAAACAGTCCAGTTAAATGATATCAATATTACTCCATGCTATTCTTTCAAACTGCTTTTGGTGAAATAACTGTGTTCTCAAGGATATACCAAAGAAAGTTGGCTTTGATTAAAATAGCATTTGGCAACAGCTTTGCAAAACAGCACCTTTGCTGAAGGATCTAGGTCATGTTGCAATGTGAGAATTTCCTTCATACTCATTTTTCCCCCTATGTGCCAAACATGACCCTATGGCACCTTCTTTTGGAAGCTTGACAATGACATTGTTCAGCTCTTGGATGACCTTCAATGATTTGATTTTACTTAGCTTTCAACAACATATCTGAATTTCCCCTGTTATCCCGAGGGCTCTGTTTCTCCTCCAGATGGAGCTGCCAGCTCTGAATGATCACTTCAATATTTGGGTATGATTGTTGCTTGGTCACTTGTGGCTGAATCACAGAAACTTAAAGTGTTGCTCTCATAGATGGCCACACCTAAATGCTCTCAACAAGAAAGTAAATGCCCCAAGACTGATGAGAATGAGACTGGACAGTTTTTGCCAAATAGAGGTGATTCCATGGATTCAAACTGCAAAGTAAACTGAATATCAAATCCCTTTGTGGTTGAAAATTGCCACTTTAGGGAAGAAAAATCATTATGGCAAGAAAGGATGATTTGTGTGGCATGCTTTCTGAGCTTAAACAGAACCTTCTATCTGTCTGACCATCATCTAATCAACACATCTTCTGTGTTTTGAGAATCACAGCCAGGACTAAGTAAGCCATGTGTGCTTCATGGACAGGAACAGAAAGATTAGATGGCGGTTATTTAGATGGATCCCATGGGATGGGAGATACCTTCTCTATGGCTTTTTATTCTAATAAGAAGAAAAGGGTGGGCTTTGGCTTGAGAAGATTAAATGGATCTGCTTCAGAAGAAGGGATTAGCCTCAGGATGTATGGTGTGACTGAAGCCAGAGAAATGCCACTGAGGACTTAAAGAGAGAAGAAATCTTCGAGACAGTGCCACCTGCAAACTAATCTGCCCCTCTTGTGAAGACAGAGCATAGGTCAGCTCAATATTGACAGCTTCGAAAAGGACAGTCAGGTTAAATGGTGGTTTGTTTTCATTTCTGATAGGCACATTGATAGGAAAAGTTTGAATGGATACTTTGGAAGCCACATCAAAGATAATGACATCTGTACAATGGTGGTTCAAATCAACATTCCCAAGCCCCAGCTAATAATATAACCACTGTGTTTATTGAGCCATCCACTTAAACAACCTGTGGAAATGCCTGAAAAGGTGAAGCTGTAATCGCATGAAAATAATGGTTGCTTTGTTAAGAATTTTCTCTGGCCTCATTGTTATCTATTACAGTAATTACCAGCCCTTCCCTTTATTTCTTAGGGCACTGAATTACAGACATTTTATTCTGGAATAGCTCAGAGCATCTGGAGTAACTATATATTTTTTAAACCTCCTTTTTTTTGGCCAGTGGTTTATATAGAACCTTTACTTTACATATAAGATGGGAACAGACAGGTGTCACTTTACCAACACCAAACTCATCTATTTCTTTCTGTGGGCAAAGATTTAGGAATAATAGTGGAATTATAGTTGTCATTAGCTGAACTTAAATTTCAGAATGGGGTACACTGCATAACTGCTTAGTTCCAGCGTCAAGTCTACCTAGCAAAGACAAGAAAATGACATCACCAAGATAATATCCTAACACAATTTATTCTTAGATGGCCATCAAGCAGCCTACTATTTCAAATTCTTCCCAAGCGGTTTGAAAATGGAAAGAAATAGTCCCATTCCATGTGTAGTACAGAGGGGCTAGGTCTCAGTAGTGGAATCCTTGTCTAGCATGTAGGCATGAGCCCTTG